TGGACAAGGCATAAAACCATCCGCCCGCTTGTTTGCCTCAGCGTCCCGCAGAAAAGTATGCACGCCATTAATGAACTCGGGAGAGCATCGGTCATCATACATCCATTGTCGGCTCATCTTCATTACACAACACCAAATAGACCAAATTAATACAAGTTCATACATAAAGTTCATACATAAAGTTCATATACAACACTTAATTAAATTCAACATACAAATAACTCTCTAGCTAAAGAATTTAAATGCAACAACAAATGCGATGAAGATCGCAACTAAGGTAGCAATTGATCCAACAGCATAATGATACCAAGCCACACTATCAATGGCATATTTTCTAATCTTTCTAATCTTCAACCTCATTTTATCCATCTTGATCTTGTGATCATCGATGACATCGGCAACATGCAACTCCAATTCCATCTTCTCCCCCTCAATTCTTTTCAATTTTTCTTTCAAATACTCGTTTTCTCTTTCAACTAAATTTAACCTCTCGACAATAGGGTCGGTTGGAATTTCCGGTTCACATACCTCCTAGATAAAAATATCTATGTCAACTTGATGGGCATAATTTGTCATAAACACGAAATGCAACAACTAGTTTTAAAACAGAATATACCACATCCGAATCATAACAAGGACGAGGGCCGACGGGGACGGATATCAAAACCATGGTACTATGTATAACAAACAACGTACGGGTAAGATAATTATACGAGTAACTATATATCCAAATCACATAAACATCAATTTGGTAATGTAAAACATTCATGAACAAGAGCCTCACCAGAAGGTGGTGCCGGTGACGGGACGGTGCGGGCGATCGACGGTGGTTACGACGGAGATTTAGAAGGCACTAAGTAAACCACACCTACATATGCAAACTAAGTGTTATTTTTGACCTCAAATTGCATATAAATCAAATACTAGCAAATATAATTATTCCTCCCAAATTAATCACTATACAAAGCATTGCAAGAGCTAATCTAGCAATGAGAGTTGAAAGGACAAAGTTGCTAACCTTTGTGATCATTTGAATGGATGGGGGCCTTCAAATCTTGACAAATTTTGGGCAAAATTTGTGAGGAGCTCGAGGAGAGAGGGGGAAGAACAGAGGAAGTGAGGGGAAAGGGGAAGAACAGAGTGGCTCGAGGGGACGAAGGGTTTATGTACGTCGACCTTTAGTACCGGTTCGTGCCACGAACCGGTACTAAAGGTGCTGGACGGGCCCCAGACTGACAACACCCTGCCACCACCCTCTTTAGTACCGGTTCGTGGCACGAACCGGTACTATAGGTTCGCCACAAACCGGTACTAATGAGAACGGCCGGCTAGCCGTTGGAACCGGCACTAATGGACACATTAGTGCCGGCTCAAAACCAAACCGGCACTAATGTGTCTCATATTAGGTCCTTTTTCTACTAGTGTAAGTGTGTTCCTCAGGAGATGCTCTGCAGGACAACATCTCTGCTTACTCAAATAAGCCACTTGGAGCACATTAAGATAGATATCAACTTTCCATGCAGATCACGAGAGTATTGCATCTTCACGAAGTGGGATAATTAAAATAGGCATACTCTCCTCTCAGCTGACCAACAGTTTGTCTCCCACTTCTACTTCACGGGATCTCCGATCATATAGAGTGGGTTACCACTATGGACAACTCATGCGGTGGGTCTCAAACCCATCTCCATCGATACATTATCTATCACATTACGTGATAGACCCTTTATGAAGGGATCTGCCAAGTTTTTCGACGTTTGGATATAATCCAACTTAATAACTCCAGAGTTTCTCAGTTTTTTGACAGATTTTAGTCTCCTCTTCACATGCCTTGAGGACTTCATATTTTCCTTAGAACTGTTTATCTTGACGATCCCAGTTTGATTATCACAGTTCAGCAAGATAGGGTGTATTGGTTTTTCAACCATAGGTAAGTCCACTAATAGCTCATGAAGCCACTGCTTCAACAGTGGTAGTGTCTAATGCTGTGAATTCTGATTCCATAATTGACCTTGTTAAGATGGTCTGCTTGCAAGACTTCCAGGAAACAGCGCCACCAAGTGTAAAAACATAACCACTTGTGGCCTTAATCTCATCAGCATCAGATATCCAGTTCGAGTCACTATAACCCTCCAGTACCCTTGGATACTCGGTGTAGTGAATCCCATAGCTCGTAGTGCCTTTCAGGTAACGCATAACTCTCTCAAGTGCACGCCAATGATCATCTCCCGGTTTTGACATAAACCGACTCAGCTTGCTCACAGCAAAAGAGATGTCAGGCCTCGTGGCACTCGTCAAATACATAAGCGGGCCAATAATCTGAGAATACCTCAGTTGATCTCTAGAAATCCGTCGATTCTTTCGAAGCAACACACTAGCATCATATGGAGTTGGAGAAGGCATGCAGTCGCTATACCCAAAACGACTCAACATCCTTTTCACATAATGAGACAGAATCAGTGTGATCCCACCATTCTCATCTCTCAACAGCTTGATGTTCAAGATAACATCAGCTACTCATAGATCCTTCATCTCAAAACAGCGAGATAGGAAATCCTTAACCTCCTTGATTAGATCAAGTTTGGTTCCAAAGATCAGTATGTCATCGACATACAAACAAAGAATAACTCCTTCGCCCCCACGATGACGATAGTACACACACTTGTTACCATCGTTTACTACAAAGCCGGCAACAGTTAATGTTCTTTCAAACTTCTCATGCCATTCCTTAGGAGCTTGTTTAAGGTCATACAAAGACTTTAATAACTTGCACACCTTTCCTTCCTGACCAGGTAGTACAAAACCATCTGGCTGATCCATGTAAATTTCTTCTCCAACTCTTCATTGGGGAAAGCCTTCTTAACGTCCATTTGATGAACGAGAAGACCATGTGAGGCAGCCAGTGATATTAGCACTCGAATTATGGTCAGTCTAGCCACGGGTGAGTAAGTATCAGAGAAGTCTTCACCTTCTTTCTGGGTATAACCCTTAGCCACAAGTTGTGCCTTGTACTTTTCAATCATACCATCAGGTCTAAACTTCTTTTTGAACACCCACTTACATTCTACAGGTTTACACCCATAAGGACGGTCAGTGATCTCTTTTGATTTTTTTTACATCCTACAGGTTTACATCCTACAGGTCTAAGCTTCTTCAAATCTTTTTTGATTTTTTAATTATTATTTTCCATATCAGGTGTATGTACACCCATGAACCAAACACTATTTCTCTGTTGTAGGCTCGGTTCCTTTCGACACGCAGGGACAGTGGAGGTTGAGGCCACATACCACACATTGAGTGGCATGCCAAAGGAGATAAAAGAAATGACTTCTTTTCACTCGCAAACTATAGATACCAACAACGCAAAAAAAAGAACTATAGATGCCAAGGCGGAGCCCCCTCAGAAAAAAGATGCCAGGGTGAAAAAATAAAATAAAATTGTTTTTTTGGGGAAAAAACTTTCAACCTATTCATTTTCAATCATTGCAGTACAATGAAGACCCGAAATAATAAAAATTATATCCAGATCCATAGACCACCTAGTGACGACTACAAGCACTGAAGCGAACCGAAGGAGCATCGCTGTCATCTTCCCTCGAACTGGGCAAAACTTGTTGCAGCAGAACAACAACCCATCTTTGAAGAGTAGATTAGGTTGGAAGGATCCAACCTGAAGACACATAAAATATAGACAAACTACAACAAGACCCAGTGAGGCCGCCCCTGAAGACACATAAAATATAGACAAACTACAACAAGACCCGGCGGCGGCGGCAAATCCACCAAGGACAGATCCGCCGGAGACACACCTCCACACACACCCCGATGATGGTAGACACACCATCAGGAAGGGGGCTAGGCAGGAGAACCTTATTGCATCTTCAGAAAGACGCCACCATCTCGTCTTCCCGAGCAAGAGTTGCTGGCGGGAGGCGGAGGAACCCTAGACTTTTCTCAAGGAAGGAGGGAACAATAAACGCGTAGTTTCTTATGAGATGGAGCAACTCTCCAAACATGATTTTGTCCCGTTTTATATATAAAGCAATCACAGAACAAAGTCATGAAGCACTGCGTATAACTTCACACTATGCCTTACAACACCTACACTTCACGACAAGGCCCCGAGAGGGAGAACCACACTATGCGTCGTCGCTGCTGAGTCCATAATGAACAAAGGTTTTCACTTGAAATATATTGTAAAGATGGAACTGATCAAGACCATATTTGTGAGGACCGAATAGATCAAGACCAACTATCCTCCAATAGAGAGGAACTTGCCTTTCCAACCACTCAATCATTTCTCTACGCACTCCTGTACATGTTTTCACTATGTGTTGGTGAGACGTCAATAATAAATTAAAATTCCAAAATATTTAATCAGGAATTGATCTTACGCACAACCAAGCAGGTGAGTGTAGTCGACGGCCACCTCGCCGGCTTCTCGAAAGCAACAAGATTCATTTTGATGGGAGCTAATTTTAAGCCGGGCATTTGCTCAAACGCTGGAAGCAAGAGATTTAGGGTTTGAGGCTTGTTCAGGTCTTGTTTCTTAAAAATAATTGTATCATTGGCATATTGCAGAATAGAGAGGTCACCGTTCGCAAAAAAATGTGACACTGCTCTGCTCTGCAATCTGACCCTTCTACTTGACGTGATCTGTTTCAGATTCTACTGTTGCAGCTAATTGGGCTTTTTCTTGGAATTTAGATGCGGCCCGGTCCGGCCCAATTCCTCTCCGGAGGCACAACCAACCCTTCGTCCTTCGACGCAACAACAATAGCAGAAGCAGCGCCGCCGCCGCCGGGCGTCAAACCGCGTGCTCTGCCCGTCGCCGTGCTCCGCCGGGTGAAGGATCAAAAGGGGTGCCCGCTCTGCCGCCGGCGACCAGGTGAGGCCGCCCCTGCTTTCCCCAGTGGCGGACCCGCCACCGGCTGCGACAGCGGGGCTGGTGTGCTGCTGGGGTTAGGGTTTGAGGAAACCCTAGCCGCCTCCGGCGCGCGATGGCCTACCGGCCGTACCCGCCGCCTCAGGGGCCCTTCCCGCCGCAGGGCCCGCCCATCAACCCGTACGGGCAGCCGCAGCCGCCGCCGCAGCAGGCGGGGTATGGCCACATGCCGCCGCCGCCGCCGTTCCACGCGCCGCCGCCTCCGCCCCCGCCGTTCCACGCGCCGCCGCCTCCGCCCCCGCCCGGACCGCCCCCTCCGCACCAGCCTCAGTACTTCGGCCACGCGCCCCTGCAGCAGCAGCAGCAGCAGCAACGGCCGCCGCCGCCCCAGATGTATTACCAGCCCCCGCCGCCGCCCTACGGCGGGAACAGCAATCAAGCGCCCCCTCCACCACCACCACCAGTGTCTGCTCCCCCTTCGGCACCGCCACCGCCACCACCTCCGGCCCAGCCCCAGCCGCCCCCACGGGAGGCTCCGCCGCTGCCAAAGGAGCGGCCGGCCAAGGCGGCGCTGCCGAGGGTGGAGTCGGAGGAGGAGCGGCGAGCGAGGAAGAAGCGCGAGTACGAGAAGCAGAAGCTGGAGGACCGGAAGCAGCAGCAGCTGATGCGCCAGTCGCAGGCCACCATTCTACAAAAGACACAGAAGGTGCGCGCCGCCACGCAGCAGCAGCAGCCACAGCAGCAGAGCCGCCACCTCCAGCCATCAGGTGGGGCTCGGCCGGCGACGACAGCGTCTCGCCCAGCCGCCGTGGCCAACGCCGAGAGGTTCGAGAATCGGCTCAAGAAGCCGACAACATTCCTCTGCAAGCACAAGTGAGTATATCAATTTCCAGACTTTTTGTCTATGCAGGTGCTAGTTGGAGGAAATTGGAGTCCTTTCAATGTAAAATGTGGGCTTGAGAAATTTATTATGCTTATGATGCACTTCGGTATTTTGGGCGTGATTCTGGACTAGAATCACGAGCCATGCTTTCCAGCGCTGCCTATTTGTGTAGTAGGCAGGCACACCGGTAGGCAGAATGGTTCTCAAAGCATCACTCCATTAATTGACAGTTTCCTTTTGAAAAATGAAAAGTCTTTTGGAATTAAACTAATGTATGACCATGTTTCCTTTCTTTCTTTCTTGTTAATGCAGGTTTAGGAATGAACTGCCAGACCCGAGTGCGCAGTTGAAATGGCTGCCTCTGAATAAGGACAAGGACAGGTAGTTTCCTACTCTTATTTTGATCAGATTGCTCTGTTCTGTTGTTACTTATGTTTGATGCAGTGAAAGCCATTTCAATGTTGCTTATATAGTTTTACTATACCCATTGCATTGTTCTTGTCAAATTTGTGATTTTTTAACTTATTTGTTATTATTTAGGCATTAAATGAATTTCTAGCTCATTATAGTATGGTGACCATTCTCTTTATTGAGGCAACCTGTTTGAGCATATGGCATATAGCAGGTCTAAGCTTGTATTTGTTCTGCTGTCAGTCCATAGCATGAATTTGCTTTTAGAAACAGTCCCAGTTTTTTAGCCATTTGGTCATATTTCAAGCACAAATCCAAGAGACCCAGCATGTTATGTGCAGCAATAGAAGGGGTATTCTTTGCGTGAGCAGTACATGGCAGCACTTTATCATGCAAGGAGAGCAACCGGCTGCTCAGGTTTAAGTTTGTTCTAGAGATATCCTTGATTGACATCCTTAGTCAAGATATGATAGCCTAGTATGATCTCCTTCTCTATGTCAGTTGAAGTTGTAGGAAGGAGGGATGAAGAAATAAAATATATCAAGCTCCTTGGCCTATCTCCACCTTGATCCTGTGGGGCGCCTGCCTCTATGGTGTCATTGCCTCGCCCGGGTCTAATACAAATATGATCATTTTGTTAGTCATATCATCTTGTGTGAGTGAATGGCCTCTCCACTGCTGTTCTTACAGACAGGGCCTGTGCCATTTCCATGATATTTGCAATACTCTGCTTTCTTATTACACTATTAGTTGGTGTTTTTCTCAGTTGTACTTCATTCTGCATGTTGCAGCTATCTTGGGGCAGCCATACTTACTTTATGTTTTTTCTGTATATTGCCCTTTCACAGATATACCAAATACAGGATCACGTCATTGGAGAAAAACTATATGCCTAAAATGATTGTCCCTGAGGATCTCGGGATACCTCTTGACCTACTTGATATGAGTGTATACAAGTAAGCATTAAGCCAGCCATCTGTTTCTACCTTTCTGATGATTCTTTCTAGCATCCCTAACTTGAGTGACAAACATACATTTAGCCCTCCCTCTGTTCATCGGCCCCTGGCTCCAGAAGATCAAGAGCTGCTGCGTGAAGATGAGGTTCTCACCCCTGTTAAACCAGAAGGTATAAGGAAAAAGGAGAGGCCAACCGACAAAGGCATGTCTTGGCTGGTGAAAACACAGTATATTTCTCCACTTACTACTGATGCAACCAAAATGGTAATGCCAGCTGATTCTTCCATAAATATAGTTACATACATTGTGCTGGTTATTTCATTATATACTAAAAAGGGTAATTTGGCCATTCCAGTCAATCACTGAAAAGCAGGCAAAAGAAAGGCGAGAATCAAGGGAGGGTCGTGATAATGTCCTCGAAAATCTTAATGATAGGCATGACTTTTCTTTTACTTGGTTTATATTCTTTGGTTTCTGAAGGTTAGCCTGTTTTGCAATCCTGGTGCAGCCCAATGACATTGTTTTTCTGTGCACGTGTATATCAGACAGAAGCGGATCAAAGCCATTGCAGAATCCTTCAAAGCAGCTAAATCACGCCCTGTCCACCAGACTAAACGAGGGATGGAGGCAGAGTTTGTTCTCCCTTTGGTACCCGATTTTGATAGGTATGACTTTTCAGATGACACATTATTGACATCCGATGTGTGTTGAGCATGGTCAGTTCATTGAAGTATTTTGTTTCCAATTCACTTTCCTATCTATGTTAAGAAAAAAATGTTTACTTCCCAGCAGCTATAAATTTCAGGTTAGTGTGTTCCAAAATTTATTGTTGTTGGAAAAGTGAAGAAGTGATCTTCCCTTATAGAATATATGCCATAATTTCTTCTGTTTTGTAGTTCAAGGTACCACCTTGGTTTTTGTGTTGCCTGGAGTCATATAAGCTGGTGGATGAATTTAAGTGATCTCAAATTTGCTTTTCTGTTCACCTCTGAAGGTATAATGATCCATTTGTTATGGTGAATTTTGATGGAGATCCTACAGCTGATTCGGAGCAATATACCAAGCTAGAGAGACCTGTACGCGATGAATGCGAATCCCAGGTGCGTTGCATTTCTTTTTCTTCTGTCTTGAGCTTTCTGATTTAGTTACTTTATAGTTATGTTAACACGCTCACATGGATGTATTGTAGAAACGGGTATTTTATATTGATTGCATGTTAATGTCAAATGCATATATTTCGAGACGTTGTGCTAATACATCACTGATGTTCTGCCTGCATATACCCTCATATCTATACCAATATGGAAATAACCAAATGGGTAGATCCAAACCATCTCAGCCATCAAATCATGAGATCTAGCAGTTCAGATCGCTCCAATGTTGAGCACCATACACGTTTAAGTTGTAGATATGTTTAGACTCAACACCATCTTATAGAATCAGAGGCACAATTGATATCTTACATAATCACGCAATAAATATCCCACTGAATATTAATGTGCATTGCACGTACACGATTACTAGTATATCTAAGGTTTTCCATGTTCTCATGATAGGCTCTGATGAAAAGTTTTCAAGTCAGTGGTTCAGACCCTGCAAAACAAGAGAGATTTTTGGCATACATGGCTCCAGCACCCCATGAGGTATTCATCCTTTTCTCAACTCTATTACATCTTTATTTCAAATGTCACCGGTCGTAGTTATAATTTGTTTTTGTATTATTATCAAATCTGATCGCGACTATGGTTTTGTCTAGCTTGTCAAGGACTTGGATGATGAAAATGAGGACTTCCAGTACTCCTGGATTCGGGAATATCACTGGGAAGTATGTGGCATTTTGCTAATGGGTCTGTGATTGTGTCTACTTTTCGTTCTGCTTGTGTAAAACTGCCTACATACCTTTTCTTGTCTCGTGATTCAGGTAAGGGGGGATGACAAGCAAGATCCAACGACTTACCTCGTCTCATTTGATGACGATGATGCAAAATATTTGGTAACTTGCTCTGTGCATACGTTATTTATTCTGATATACGACAGTGATTCATTGCACATTTGGCTGACGCTTTATTGTCCATTTTGCAGCCTCTCCCTACCAAGCTAGTATTGCAGAAGAAGAAAGCTAAAGAGGGGAGATCTGGGGATGAAATCGAGCATTTCCCAGTGCCTTCTAGAATTACTGTGAGCAGGACAGCACATGATGATGAGATGGAGCACGGAGAATCATCCAGCATGCATGTATGACTCATTTTTCCTTCATAACTGCAGGCATGAAAGTTTACTTTGCAGTGAGCTATTAGTAATATACCGCAGCTAGGTAGTGTTGTCGTTCTTCAGTTTTTCGTCTCTATTTAATACTCCGGCCCAAAATATAAGGTGTATTTTTTTCCCAAAAATCAAACATTTCTATGTTTGACCAAGATTACAGATAAATATAGCAACACATACGGTACCAAATAAATAGCATATGAAAATATATTTCATGATGAATTTAATGATATGAATTTGGTATTGTAACTATTGATATTCTTCTCAATAAATTTTGTCAAATTTAGATAGGTTTGACTTTCAAAAAATTAATACACCTTATATTTTTGACCGTAGGAAGTATATTTGTAGGCGGTTCTCCTCTCGCCAAGCCATATATGTAGCTACTGCGTTTCTTGCAATCAGTTCACTGATTCTCGCTCTTGGGATTGTTCACCTGTTTATTATCCCCAACTCTCCCCATGTTAGAGCATAATAAATTGATCTTTATGCATTACCATTACCTTTAAGTAAAGGTTTCTCCTCTGCAGGGTAATTTAAAGCGACGAAGATCTTCTGTTGATGATGATCTTGAGGAGCATCGGAGGCATTCTCGCGTAGAAGATACAGAGCAGTACAGTGAAGACGATTATGAATGATCAATAGATATGGAAGGATCGTCATTTTCTTGCACCGCCAAATTCATCAGCACACATGAATCTTTGAAGATCTCGTATGCATTTGCTCTGGCGCCTCCGTAAGTAGTAATAGGGTGCAGGGTTGATGAAAGAACCAACCTGCTTGAGTGAAGTCGGCCAATAGCAGATTTTGAAGTGCAAGGCACGGTGTAACTGGACCTAAGACTGGTCTCGGAATTGATTGTAGAAGGTCTCATCAGCATTGTAAGAAAAGGCTATGTAGTCTCTGGGAGTGATTCTCCGTTGCTGTTTTGATGATATAGGCCAATTTATTTATGTCAGGATTGTAGACAGTTGTGTTATGGTAATTATTATTTTTTCTTGTGGAAATGATGATCAACATATCGAAGGTCGTGTATTTGTGCTACGAGGAATGTTAATGTGCGAGTTCTGAAGATCACGAGCAGCATTGCAAGAAGAGTATATTTTTTTGCATGATGTGTCT